CAGCTCAGTGAGGATATATAGTACATTGCAGATATATGTAGCTTCATATAGAGAAATAAGGTCACAAAATAAATTTATTTCCAAGATATTATTTATTCCAAAACTTCCCTCCTCGGGACACCTGGGTGGTTTAGTTGGTTAAGCATCTGCCTTCAGCTCAGGTCATGATCCCAGAGTCCTGGGATTGTGCCCCGCATTAGGGCTCCCTATTCATCAGGGAGCCTGCTTCTCCCTTTCCCTCTGCTGCTCCCCTTGCTTGTGCTCTCTTGCTGTTTCTCTGTCAAATAAATAAATAAAATCTCAAAAGAAAAATAAAATTCTCTCATGAATGGGCGATGGCTATGGGTGCTTCCTGTGGTTGGGTTAGACTCTGAAGTTGTATGGAAGAAGGTTGAATATGGTTATTGGCTTTCAGAACGTGGAGCCAAGGGAGCTCTGAAATGCAAAGTTCAGGGTGTGGTGGACATTGTGGTTGCTTCTTCATCTGTTCCTCCTCTTGGTCACCTGATTTTCATTTGACTATCTACTCCTCTTTGACTCAGCCCATGTGTTTGTGGGAATTTCACTTCACTCCTGTCTCTTGGAAAGGGGTTGTACAAGTAGCAACATAATCCTGTCAACTGGTCAAAATTTTGGTTCAGAAGTGATGCATGGACTCATTTGGACCAGAGATACTGGAAAAAATATTTTCTGGCAACATATAAGAAAGAATCCTTATCTTTCTCATCTTCTGGGCTGTTTTATTCAGATAAGAAGCTTGGAAGTGCTACAGCCATATTGCTACAATGTGTGAAGCTGGCTTTAGGATAGAGCTGATATCATGCAAGAGAAAGCAAAGAAAGAGCGAGAGTAGATCTTAAGTGTTCACACCACACCAAAACTGAAAAACAAATGGTAACTATGTGAGGTGATTGATGGGTAAATTAGCTTGACTGTGGTAATCATTACACGATATATACATATATCAAACTACTACATTGTACACCTTAAATATATACAATTTTTGTTAATTATACCTCAGTGAAGTTGGAAATAAAAGAGTGGGGTCGTCTTTTAGTCACTGAATCAAGTGACTCAGAATCTTGACCCACCACCCGATTTCTGACCCACCACACAAACACTCTGTTTTATGAAAGTTAATTTGAGTTGGATTTTATGTCATTGTAATGTAATGCATGCCATCTGATACAAGCAGTAAGGAAAGAACTTTGGCTAGAAAAATAGGTCAAAAGGTACATCGGTTTGAAAGAATTGATCTGAGAAGCGGAGACTAGGAATATAGCATGGGACAGAAACTAGAGACGTTAAGATAAAGTCAGGAGAGTTTAGAATGTTGGACAGGAGGGAGAAGAGATAGAAGAAATTATTTGAATTGAGGGACTGTTTTTGCAGGCGAGAGGAAAAAACTAAGGAGACCAAGGTGGATCAGAGCTTCTGGATGCTTGCATTACACATAGATTGCGCTGGAGAAGGGGTCAAGAAAAGTACCTTAATATCATCAACTTTGGCTTTGACAACCAGATTTCAGATGAATGCAGACCACAGAATGTGAAGGCTGACTTGTTTTTTAGTTGTTGTTGTTTGTTGTTTTTATAATTTTTATTTTTAAGTAGTGTTTACACCCAATGTGGGGTTCAGACTCACAACTCCCAAGATCAAGGGTCACATGCTTTACTGAGCCAGCCAGGCGTTCCAAGGCTGACTTGTTTTTATAATGTAATTAAGACTTATACTTCTGGGGTGCCTGGGTGGCTCAGTCAATTAAGCATCTGACTCTTGATTTTGGCTCAGGTCATGCTCTCAGGGTCGTGCGATCAAGTCCCGCATCTGGCTCTGCACTGGGCATGGAGCTGCTTGGGATTCTCTCTCTCCCTCTTCCTCTGCCCGTCCCTACCCCCCTGCATCCCAGCTCAGGCTTTATCTCTCTCTCTCTCTCTATCTCAAAAAAAAAAAAAAGACTTCTATTTCCTCCCATAACAGTGAACTGCTACACCGGGCACCTGGGTGGCTCAGTCAGTTAAACATCCGACTCTCTATTTGGGCTTGGGTCTGTGATCTCGGGGTCGTGGGATTGAGTCCCAGGTCAGACTCTGGCACTCAGCACAGGGTCTGCTTGGGATTCTCTCTGTCCCTCTCCCTCTACCCTACCCCCTGCTCATGTGCATGCTCTCTCTATCCAATAAATAAAGCTTAAAAAAAAAAATGAACTGCTACAGGAATTGCCTCTCCATCATAAATAACTAGAAAATTAAAGAAAATGTATGGAATGACAGATAATTGAGGGCCAGAAACCCTAAGAGAAGATAAACAAATGAGATAAGGTTTATGATTATACTAGTTTTCTTCCTGGAGGTGGTTTCCAGGTTACAGTAGGGAGGGACATCTAAAGCTGAGCCTGGTGATCTTATTGCATTGAAATGATAGATCAGTTTAAGAAAGTCTCAGCAGTTAGAATTTGTGGGAAGAGTATTGGAGAGGAGGAGCTTCACTGAGACAGCTCCACAGGTCTGCAGAGATGTCTCCTAAAATCTTTGGCTGAGTACTAATATGTACATGCATGAGAGGAAACTCACTGAGGCCAGGGAAAGAA